ATCAGGCAAAATTCAACAAGAGACACACAGTAGATTAATAGCTTTGGTTTGCTAATATGAACTCAATAAGCTAAGAAGTTGTAAAGATGCTAACATATTCTTAGGTGTATTGATCTATTAAAACAGCCAGCCACATGACTGAAGTTTTAAGAACAGAACTTCAAAGCAGTGGTACTTAAGTAGAGCAGAAAAACTCACCTAAATATCCATTTTTAAAAAAGATTTTATTTATTTATTTGACAGAGAGCACAAGTAGGTAGAGCAGCAGGGAGAAGCAGAACCCCCACCCAGCAGGGAGCCCGACGTGGGGCTCGATCCCAGGATCCTGGGATCATAACCCAAGCAGAAGGCAGCCACCTAACCAACTGAGCCACCCAGGCACCCCACCTAAATATCCATTTTTAACACATAGTAGGTATGTTTGGAAAAAGCGTATTCAGCCTCATAATATGAAATTGTGTGTCACACAAGCAGAAATGAACTATTTAAACATACAAACTAAACAGGCTCACAAAGCTACATTTGACACTTCAGATAAGAATAAAGAAAATGATCAAGGTTCCCACAAATGCCTGTGCTCCTGCACACCCATGGGAGACACTCAGGAGAGGCTTGGAGTGGTGCTTTCACTTCTGTCAAAATGGAGCATGAGCTCCACATGGCTCAAGTTCACAACCAAAGGAGAAGGTAGAAAGCACTACAGGAAAAGGACCCCTGCAGTGAAAGAAGAAAAATGGTCTTTCTCAGAACTACCAGACAGTGAGGGGGACAGGGTGATCAAAGGAAGGGCACTACCAGCTTCATTTGTCTCTATTCCTGGGTCTGTTTCACAACGTTTGAGTTGGAGGAGAAGGCACATGGATAGGAAAGTGTGATTTACCAAAGAAACAAAGTAGAAACATCCAGGAATGAATGAATAAAAAAAACAAACAAAATAAAGAATATGCCTGTTGGCTGATGTCAAAGGGGAGGAAAGCTAACTTGTAACTGGCAACAACAGAGAAAGGAAATAAAAAACAAAACAAAAAAACCTGCTGCAAGTAAAAGAAGAAAGCTAAATAAGTATCTAGGAATATGGATGGGAGAGTCATCACTGTGAGAAAGGGAACTATATCCAGATGCTTGCATTTATGCATTAATATTTTAATATGTAAGGTAATTATGAGTATACATAACACATGTCTAAAGGCTTGACTTCGGGAACTGACATCACGTTGAAGTAGATGGACAATTTTACATCCTATTGTGTATCCTACCATATTTGATTGCCTTTCCGAGTACATGTATTATTTTAACAGCAACAACAGAAATTAGGATAGCAAACATAAACAACATTCTTTTTTTTTTTTTCATAAACAACATTCTTATTTAGTTCTGGGTGAAAGAGAAAACTCGGAGAAAAATAAGGATTGAGGAGAACCATGCACATCATTAGAAGCTCTTTTTAGGAGCCCTTCAAAATATTTTTAAGGATTATTTTTAGGGAATTTCTGCCCAGGTTACCTAAGTTCACTTTAACTGTGGAAATTGAGTTATCATAATAAAGATAGATGACTTTTAAAAGTTAGAAAATTCAGATAATAATTCTGTTGGATGGGCTCAAGATGTGAGCTCCCTGTTAATCTCAAAGTCAGTCCACAGGTCTCCTGTGAGTCCTCAGTCGTGTGGACTGTTTCAGTAGATAATCCCCATGCCACTTCCTAATGCCCTTGGTCCCACTTTCTATTCAGCTACTGGTGCTGTGACCAGTTCCAGGCAGGTGTAATCAGATAGTGAGCATCAGGTCACACCTAGTACCTGGAGCTCCTTGCCATGGGACTTCGCCAACTCCATGGCATGGGACAGCCCAGCCAGCAGCTCTGCTGCCATGTGTACACAACCACGAATTACTGGGGTTGAGGACATGAGCCCCACAGGAGCCTTGAGATCCGTAGGAGCCATTGGGTAGAATCCTCTCAGCTCTCGGGGATGACAATTCTGAAATGCATTTCCTAAGACTCTTCAGCTGGTCCTGGCAGCGCTGGACACCAGTCTCCACTAGTCCTCCATAACTGGATAAAAAAATTCCCTGTATTGGCTTTTCCTCTTTTCAGTTTTCACTCCACCTGTTTTTCACACCACACCTCCTGTGATCACTTTTCTAAATAAAGCGCTAATATGCAAGCTTTTGTCTTGGGCCCTGCTTTCTGGAACACCCAGCTTATACTCCTCAGTGGTGAAAACTCCAGTTCTTCTGCCCTAGTACCTCAGACTCCAGTGAGAGTTGTTGCCTGCTTAAGAATTTTTTAGGAGTTAATTATACACAAAACCATTATATAATCATTTTGTTATAATAATCTGTAATTTATTTGGGGGTTTAGGACATCTCCAGGCAGAAATCCCTCAGGAAAGATAATGAAAATGAAATGGATTCAACATTGATTCAGCCTCCAAAGACCTGACAGCCAAGCAGAAAGTGATTTAAACTTGACCAAGATAACAAAACATATGAACATTGTTCTGATTTTTGCATGGCTAGGAACAATTCTATAGGGTGAAGCGTAAACTAGTCAGTTGACATGTTTGTGAACATAACAACACTGCAACCAGGATTAAGGTTAACTAGCTGCAAGCTTATGAACTCCTTGCTTGCTGACATAAGGCCTTGCTCTGTAGCAGAACAAATTTACTCTCCTTGAAATTTGCAGACAACCAGCCTTGAGGAATGAAGGACTAGAACTTTCCCAGAAGATAAGTTCTGACTATATTCAAAAATAGCTGCCAGGGACACCAGAGGGTCCATTCAGGTATCCACATGAGAGTAACTGCCTGCACACCTCCTTCTCCTACACAGAGCCCCCCAACTTTTCCCCAAGCCTTCCCTTTAACACCTTCTGGTTGCACCTGGACAGGGAAGATGTCTTTGAGACATTAGTCCACCAACTTCCCAAGTTGCCGGCTTCCTGAAAAAGCAACCTTTCTCCCCACCATCTCTTGTCTATCTGGTATGGATTTTCCAAGCAGCAAGCAGCCAACCCTGAGTTGGGAATCAGTACTGTGTCCCATATCATCATCTGGCACATTTACAGCAAGGCCACAGGAGAGAAATCAAGCTCATCCTGCAGTAAGAACAATCAACCACAGATTAATAACACTTGTGAAGAAGGAAAAACACTCAGTGAGAAAGGCAGACATAGTCAGGCTTCCTGTGGTGGCTTCTTCGATTTTCTAGTTCCCCAAGTTTTCCCAGAGTCAGCTGCTACTGCCAGGGTTCCCCACACATTCTCCCAAATGTATAGTGTTCAAGACTTAATAAATTTTTAGCCCACAATATCAGTGAAACAAAGAAAGACTTCTCATGTTTATAGAACAGCTCACCAAAAAAAACAGAAGGAAAACTATTTGCAGCAGGTGGATTCCCTTCTGTACCCGAAATCCTTTCAAATCAGATGAAAAGAAAACCACTCTCAGATCTCAGCGAAACCTAAGCCTCCTGCTATCACAGCTCCTCAGATGATGAGTGCCTCAGGCCTGTTCACTCCCTGGTACTTATTTGCCAATTAAATTATTAATCATCAAACCTTGTGCTCAGGGTTTTGTTTTGGTTTGAATTGTGTCTATGTTTTGTGAAGGATTCAATGTCTGACCTTGGTACTCCTTTCAGACAGGCGGGACCCTGCTCCTCAGCCTCTGCTCCTGATTCTTCCATTCATAGAAAAGACACTTCCGATTCAATCCTCATTTTTTTGCCTTGAAGGTTGTGCCCCTTATTTCAAGTTCTGAAATATCCTACCTTTCTCAGTTCTTGTTACTGAACTGTTCAGGCTACTGGAAACATTCATTTATTATTTCCTACAGCAGGCACAACACTCTAAAGAAGTTTCATTCATCTCCCTCCAGTTGAAGTATCGTAAGAGTTCTGTCTAAATAGTGGCCATGTGGCATTAAGGATAGGCATCTTTTTCACTGAATTTTGCCTCATGTACAAGTTCTACAATAGGATGAAAACACTAGAATCTTTCTGCTTTCAAGCTCCATGCAGCTTCTAGTACTGCCATTACAACCACATTAATTCTCTAGAGAAGAAAGAATATCCTCTGAATGTAATGAATTCCCACATCTGGGCACAGGATCTGACCTCCACAGCTGCCATGAGTACCTGTTCAGGACTTCTCCCTGGACACCCACAGAAATTGCCTTGCAGAGGTTTGTAATCAATGAGTTCCAGTATAAAACAGTCTTTTACAACTAAAACCACGAACAGGGCATTCTCAGAAGTTCTCCTTGTAAGAGAATCTTGCCAAACAGGGAATTAGTTGAGAGAAGCAGGAGAGGTGAATCTGGGAGTTTTTACAAGTATAAAATTAGGTCAAATGTTTTTAAACCTTTAGTCTCAGGAGCTTCCATTTTTTCCTTTTCCTCTGAAATGTCTCTGAGTGTTACAGATTGTATCTCCTATGCATATTCCTTGGTTCTTCATGGAGACAATAAAGTCTTCTACCCACAGGTAAGGCCAGCCAGCAAAGAAAATAACATAGTAACTACAAATACTATCTTGTACTTTCCTTGTCCCTTCTCACTGTCCCCAATCTGCACCTCCACTTCCCCTTAAACACTCAAATACAAATGCACACTCACACCCAACACACCTTGGCTTTGCATGGCATGTTGGTGGGCAAGTCATTCTTTCTTTTATGTTGCCTGCATAGGAAACATTCCACCTTATTTCACGTGTGTTCAGCAAGTGCTATTATTTGGAGTCCTTTTACAAACATGATCACATATAATTTGCCCAACCAACATGTCAGTATGGAGAGACTGTATCACTACCTTCATTTCAAAGGGGATGATAGTCTTACTTTGGAGTTACTGAAAACAAGGAAGTCTCCTGTGACTTAGCCTCTGTATCTAAGGATTCTGGTAGTCAGTCTGACCACATGACACATTTCTGCCACTTGAAAATTTGCCCAGAAACTGTTTCCATTTAACATTTTTTCCTCATACCCACCAGTGCTGGATGATCAGACAAGCTTCTGACCGTGGGCAATGGTAATGGGCTCCTTCTCCCAGCACCCATATTTGGTCAGTTTGTCCCAAAACTCCTTGGTTTTCACTGCATAAATAATAGGATTGAGCATTGGAGGTACAAGGAAGTAGAGGTTTCCAAGAATGGTGTGCACATGGGGTGGAATTCCCCTGCCAAAGCGGTGAGTGAGAAAAGAGAACAGTGAAGGTGTGTAAGAGATAAGCATAACAGAGATATATGTGGTACAGGTGTTGACTGCTTTGTGGTGGGCTTCTTTAGAAGACAGTCGCAGAACAGCCCGGATGATAAGCACCTAAGAGGAGGCACTAGCTGAGATGTCTAGCCCTGCAACCAACAAGGCCACCACCAGACCATATATCCGGTTGACTGTGGTGGCCACACACACCATCTTCACCACAGCCATGTGCTCACAGTAGGTGGTTGGGATGACATGATTTGCATGAAAAGGCATGTTCTGGAGGACGACAGGCATGGGCAGAATGAAAAAGATGGTTCTCACTAAACAGAGTAGGCCAATGAGCCCAATGCGACTATTGGAAAGAATGGTGGCATAGCGCAGGGGCTCACAGATGGCCACATAGCGGTCAAAGGCCATGGTCATCAGGATGGCAGACTGAAAGGCAGATATGGACTGGATGAAGAACATTTGGACCAGACAGCCCACATAGCTGATCTCACTCTGGCCAAACCAGAAGATGCACAGCACCTTGGGAATGGTGGTAGTGGACATGCCCAGGTCTGTGAAGGCCAACATGCAGAGAAGGAACATGGGCTTGTGCAGGGAGCGCTCTGTGCAGATGATGAAGATGATGGTGCAGTTCCCAAGAATGGTGACAAAGTACATGGAAGAGAAGGGGATAGAGATCCATCTGTGTTTGTCCTCTATCCCAGGAATGCCTTGGAGAATGAAGAAAGGAGGATGACCCAGGGAGGTATTGCAAACGGTCATGGTGTCACGTGGTGCAGTTCCTGAGAAGAACAATAAAATCCTTCATGAGCCTCAAACGTAAAAGAATCAAGGGTTTCAAAGTGGAAAGCAAAAGGTGGAGTGCTTAGATACACAAAAATTTTTCTGAAATCGAGGCAATATATCTTCCATATCATAGTTGAATATTATATGCCTTATTATATAACATATTGAAGTATTCCATAATAATAATGTGGTCTTCCAACATTTATATCTCACAGAATATATTCATTTGGAATATTTTTATTAAGGATGCACTTAATCATTGTTCACATATAAAGCATGTCATTAAGTATATGAAAATATATTTTGTGAATTTTTGAATGTGTCTCCACTTGAAGAAGGGAACTAAGAATATGAGACAAAAAATGGATAGATATACCATGAAAAATGACAGAATATTTAATATCACAGTAAACATAAGATGAAATAGGTCAACAAAAGAGCTTTCCACGAATAAGATAGCTTAAGTGCTTAACAGAATTGTTCACCAAACCTTGAAGGATCCACGTTTGCAGCACATAAGGGACTTGCAAGGACCTCTGATGACAACTGTTCTATGAGGAACAAAGGGATCAGGTGACAGGCGTCTGGGCACCTGAGACTAGGCTGCCAGAATGGGACTGTGAAGCGCACCTCACCAGGAACCACTCACCTGAATGTGAGGCAGAGGGTGGGCAGCTGGGCCCAGACAACTTCTTCAAATGTGTGTGTCTGAGTGTGGACAGCTGTCTGTAGCTGTATGTACATGCACAGCATGGCTCCTGGACAACACACTCAGGGCCCTGCATGTCCCCCCTCCTCACTCTTGGGCACCGAGAAGCCCTGGTGTGGCCATCTAAGTCACCTAAGGAAAGGACCCCTGGGTGCCCAGAATTAGCTCTTTGCCACTCCCTCATTCCCCAAAAACACACAAACCAGGCACCACTGCTATTATGTGCGAACTTGACACTAGAGGTTTCCCTGAGCTCCCAGGAGATGGGGCTGGTTGACCCCAGGGGTTCTGGGCATGTTGCAGTCTTTGGCAGTCACGGAGGAGCCTGTGGAAAGAGGGTGAAGTTAAAGCTGAATCTGGAACTAGATTAGGGTCTGGGAGCTTGTATCCTGAAAGCCCTCTTTCCCAAGTGAGTGTAGGTGTGGGAGCCCAGCCGTGCCTTACTCCGTGGCAGGGGTAGTCATGCTCCTGAAGGCATCAGAGGTACTGCGCCTGTTGTTGGACACCCTGATCAAATGTTGTTAGCTGCTCTAGTTCTATCTATCCTTAGCATCCTCCAGATTCTTTACTCTATCTTGTTTCTCTGGCCAATGGCTTTACCCCAGACATTCTCTCTCCCCCAGCCCCCAAGGTGTTTTCTGCAATCGCACCTCTCATGTTCCAATATCCCCTCAACTTTTGGGTCCAGATGTGGCCATGTTTCTTTCTTATTAGTTCAGAGGAAGAACATTTGTCAAAAATTCTGCCATGTCCATCGCAGAATGCATAAACCAACACCATACATTGTCAAAATCATGCAAAATCAAGCAAAATCATTTCAGGAGTGGGACTCAGAGGACCAGATTCTAAATCATGGTGTAGTGCAAGTTCTTTTTACAAATAGGCCCTCTAGGGTGTCTTTGTTCTGAGTCAGGTGTCAGCTGGAGGGAAGCAGTGGCTGAGAGAAGGAATAGCAGAATGAAGGACCTGACACAATCTATATATCAACAGAAAGAATCACCAACAAAAATAGGCAAGCAGCGATGCATCTGCTCATAGACACATCTGCACAGCTCCCCCTGAAGAAAGCTTGTTCTAGTATCATGCCAAAATTCTGGGCTCAGTCATTCCTCTCTGCCCCAGGGATATCCTGATGGATAATAATGACAGGTAGTAACCAGCAAGACTCCTTTTTTCCTAGCCCTACTGTCTTGGTTTTACATTCGTAATCCAGAGAACTCCCTGCATACTTCTAAAGAATCTTTTCTTGTAGAATATTCCAAAGTTTTCTAAGTGCCATGGTGTTGCCCAGAATCTGTGACCTCTCAGTCACAAGTTTTAAGCTTGCTCTTTGGATAATCACACTACTCAGGGAGAATAGCCCTGGTCTGATTTCTCCCCAAGTACTGTACCCTGATCACTAGCATCATGTTTGTCACATATCAGGCAGATAATAAGAATCAAATAAATGAATAAGGGAATGAATAAGCCCATGAATAAGTTCTTTAAATATGAATTAATTGTGTCCTAATTTATGAGATCTCACATGGTTTGTTTTCTTATGTTCATAAAAAGCGAAGGCACAACTACTTGAAGGCTATGCCTTCTTCTTCAATGAATTCATAAATCAGGGCCAATCCAAACAAATTTCAATGATTCATTCTTTTTAGAATCTTGACAAAATTCTGAAATTTAACTGGAAGAACAAATACCTGAAAAGCAGCGAGATCCTGCATTTCCCTATAAAATTCCCTAGCCCTTTACTCCACACAGACTTGCAGTTTCTTGAAGGTCATAGCCTGTTTCAGCCTCCTTTGCCCAGCAAAACAATAAAGCTATTATCCTCTTGATCCCAAACTCTGTCTTTGCCTTCTATTTTGGCTTTGAAGTATGGATGTCTGTTTTCAACAATACCACATATAATTCATAGATTTATTTGAATGAAGATAATCTAATTCATTTTTCTTTGATAAACATTTAGTTGGTTTACAATTATTATAATTCTAATGTTGATAATATTCTTATATAAGTCTACCTTATTCACTTGTGTGTTGTGCCTCTCAGGCTTGTATTTGTGAAGTTTCTGTTTTATAGGATATGTATATTTTTAATTTTGCTAAATATTAAATTGATCCTGGAAGTGGTTGATTCATAGTTAGTATCCCACTAGCAATGAATAAATGTTCTTATTTCTCTATATCATCACTAATTGTTAGTGTTATTTGATTTTTGTTTTAATTTTGCCAATCTGAATGGTGTTTTTTTAAGTGGTTTTTATTGCATTTTCCTTATTACTCAAATGGTTGAGGGTTGTTTTCAGGAAAGGTTGAAGTGTGAAGCTAGGTCACCAAGTGACCTCTTGGTCACTATTTTTGACTATACACAGTGTTACTGACAACCAGGAATGCTCACTTGAGCCTTTGGAGTCCAGAATTGGTAATTTGGCCAACCCTAAGTAACTATAAAGCATTGGGTAGAGATTCATTTTCTTAGTTTTCTTAGATTATTAATCATGTAGAAAATTGTTTAAGTTAGACATTGTTTCAGTTATTTATTGTTGTATAACAAATCACTCCAGACTTAGTAGCTTAAATCAACATTATTTTGCTCACGAAAGTGAAATTTTAGTGCCCAGCAGGGATAGCTTGTTTCTGTTCCCCCGGTAATGATGGGGACAGATTGAAGGCTGGTTCTATTTGGCATCAGAGAAGGGACTGGAATCATCTGGCTACTGGCTTACTCCAGGGTCTGGTGTCTGGGCTGGGAGGATTTAATAGATAAAGGCTGGAACAGCTAGGAATCTTCATGAATCTCTCTTCATTTCTAGATGATATAATGGCAACTTCAGAGAAGCTGGAATACTTACATGTGAATGAGAAAGAAGAACCAAGAGGAAGAAGGAGGGCAATGGTGAGGGGACAGTGGGGAGAAGAGAGAGACCAGTCTCTATTTCCTTCCATAATGTGGCTTCAGAGGTAAGTCATGCTCTGTCACTTCTGACACTAGAACTGAGACACTAAAGCCAACTCCTATTTAAGGGGAGGGAACATAGCTTGTATCTCTCAGTGGAATGTCAAGGTCATTTCGTTAGAAGAATGCAGAATAGGATACATTGGTGTAATTGTGTTTTCATCATCTGCCATGGACATCATTAAATTTAAAAATTTTTCTAAGGCAAATTGGATACATATATATAGACAGAGATTCCAATATTCCCAATCCTGATTCACTTCATTTCCCTGATTTCTTTTTTTATTACAGTATAATTAACATACAGTGTTATATTTGTTTCAGGTGTACAATACAAGACTCAGCAATTCTATACATTTCTCAGTGCTCATCAAGATAAGTGTACTCTTAATACCTTTTATCTATTTCACCCACCCCCCCCACCTACCTCCCCTCTGGTAACCACCAGTTCGTTCTCTGTATTTAAGAGACTGTTTTCTTCATTTGTCTCTTTGTTGTTTTGTTTCTTAAATTCCACATATGAGTAATACCATATGGTATTCGTCTTTCTCTGATTGACTTATTTCACTTAGCATAATACCCTCTAGGTCCATCCAAGTTGTTACAAATGGCAAGATTTCATTCTTTTTTATAGCTGAGTAATATTTCATTTTATATATAATCTTTATCCATTCATCTATGGATGGATACTTGTGTTGTTTCCATATCATGGCTAAGGTAAGTAATGCTGCAATGAACATTTTCAAATTAGTGTTTTTGTTTCTTGGGGGATAAATATCCAGTAGTGGAATTACTATCTTTCTTTTTTTGAATTAGTGGGTTTTTGGGGGGAGAAGGGGGTACCTACCCAGTAGTGGAATTTCTGGATTGTATGGTGATTCTATTTTTAATTTTTTGAGGCACACCTATACTCTTTTCCACATTGCTGCACCAATTTGCATTCTCACCAATAGGGCAAGAGGTTTCCTTTTTGTCCACATCCTGACCAATGCTTAATATTTCTTGTGTTTTTTTTTTTTAAATTTTAGCCATTTTGACAGGTGTGAGGCAATATCTCATTGTAGTTTTGATTTGCATTTCCCTGATGATGAGTGATGGTGAACATCGTTTCATGTATCTGTTGGCCATCTGTATGTCTTCTTTAGTAAAATGTCTATTCAGGTCCTCTGCTTATTTTAATTGAATGATTTGGTTTTTGGTATTGAGCTGTACAAGTTCTTTATATAACCAAGGAGGTGAAAGACCTGGGCTCTGAAAACTGTAAAAAATTGAAAGAAATTAAAGATGACACAAACAAATGGAAAAATATTCCATGCTC